TTTTTTTTTTTTACCACGTCAGGCATATTGTCATGAAATGATGCGATGTTTACTTGTAATAATTGTAAAATGGATTTAATAAATATGTTCATAAACTACTATTGTACTTATCCATCGGAGAATATTAATTTTTTCTACTACTTAATAATATATTTATACCTAATATAAGTATTATTATTATTATTATTATTATTATTATTATTATTATTATTATTATTATACATGTACGCGAGGCAGAACAGCAATGTTATTTTTTTTTAATTTCACTTACTTAGTAATTGCACCAATACAAGAAAATATAAAAAAAAAAATCCAAATCACATATATGTAAAGCGCAAGGAACTGATATGTACATTGCGAATATCTAAGTTTGGAATGCATTTTACCTGCTACAATTAGCCAGGCTGATATTGACAGTACGTCCCAACTAACACCTCCCATGTTTTGGTGCAAGTAATAACTGAAACGAAAGCAGTAAATACAACAGACGCATACAGATACCACCAGAAAATCCAATAGAAACATTTAGATACCATAACAAAATGATGATGGGCAAAGTTGTGGATGGAGAGTTTGATTATTCAACAAGCAGACTAGTCAGCAGGCAGACGTATATGTGTATCATATCCGTCTGTATATTATTCTGATTGTTTTATCATCGTCCTATTATCGAATGTGTAATTTACCCACTCGTATGTTCCATTCAATTTTAAGATATTTATCACACGGTAAAATACGCCGTTAACTTTAATGAAAATAGAAAACATAAATACGTGGGTGCTAATTGCAAAATATAATGTGTATGCTAATATATATTTACAACCTGTTTAATGTTTTCATAACTGCGTGCGCACGTATATATATAAGTATATATAAGTACAGACGTCGAGTTGTCAAGTTAATTTACTGTACATTTGCTCTTGCTTAATTAGACTCTATCACTAAGCTTCCATATGTGTTTCCCACAGTAATTTTATGGTAATTTTATGTAAAGCACAACAAGTATACCTTAGCGACATTTTAGACTTCTTCCACACAGGTGTAACAAATTTGCTGCACATGTGTAAGAAGAAATTCACCATGCAAGTAAGTTACTGTTTTAAATTTGAAAGAATATGAACGCTTCTTGCAAACTGCTGCAATCGTAAGATCCACTTGCATCGTCCCTGTGAATTAGCTGCAAATTTGCTACAAGCTTTTCATTTTGTAATGAAAGTTTACATCTGGAATTTGTGTAAAAGTTAGGCCACAGCTGTGCTAAGTTAAGCAGAAAAAAAAAACGCACCCGGTTGAAATGGAAAATCATTACATTTAGTTCAGCTTTACAAAGGTTTAAAACCCTATACTTACCAAATATCCACCTTCACCTACGAGTCCCTTTACGATGCAGATTATTTTGCCTGGTCTGTTAACATAACACTCCACACACAAACGAACTGCCTTCTTTATCGTTATATAAAGCTGTCAGGTGTTTAATAGTCAATTAATATCCAAAGCGATAAGATATGTACGTTTATCGTCTGGTTTTGCCATTTGACATTTTGATAGTCTTCTTACACGTGTCAATTCAACAGTAATATTTTAGAAAGTTCATTTAAAAGCTTGGCAGGGGAGATTTAAGCTTACACGCTACCTAACCTAGAACAAGTATTCGAATGTCAGTTTTTTTTATTAGTCTAACTTTGATTTGTTTACAAAAGTTAAATTTAAAGCGACAGTGTTTGTGGCTTATCCCACGTAGCGCAAATAAATGTGTATAAAATCCCACCACTTTTTAGTGTCGCGGTTTTGACATCATTTTAATTTATAGTTTATTCTATACGTAATACATTTTACTCATTTTTTAAAATTAAATTTGAGGATGTATGGACTCCATGAAAGAGGTTTTGCATGGTCTCTGGATAAGATAATAAAATATAATTTTTTTTCACTTAAATGATATCTGCATGATGATGATTCGATCCAGTACCTGATGGACCTTGGTTACGTAAAACTACATTTAGTATAATTAATTGTGTTTATGTAGGAAATGGTTTGTTTTTAGTTGTGGTAATACCTTTGATAGTAATACATAAACGCTTTGTTTATATGAAATAATCTTAGTTTGGTTCTTGTGTCTGACCTTAAGTATATAGATGTACATTCATTGAAAAACTCACGTGTGATAAGAATACACCAAACGTGCATAAAACTGGTTTAATTGACTGCATAAAAACATTATAATTTTAAAAAAGGTATAGGTTACTGAATATTGCATTTAAGCAAATAACGTGCGAATGATAAACCTATTTATTGACTGGCTATTATTAATTCCCTTTATCATCAAAGATGCATTACGTCGTAAAACACCGTGCAGTTCATGTCCAGCAAACACAGAATGTTACTATAACGTCAGCGTTACGTTATGTAAACGTTGTGGTGACGTTATAATAACGTTTGTGTTTGCTGGGTTAACTGCGCCTGGGCCCAGTCACACATAAAAAACGTAAGTCAGTTCCCTGGCTTAGTTGACCAGGATTTCCACTAGAGTGCTGAAACACTGTTCCTGATAGGGTAAGATGTATGCATGTTCCATGTCCTTTTTTTGTGAATCTGGGGCCTGGGCTAATAATGGTACATACACATGTATTAACGTTCATTAATTATTTTAAATGACATATGTAAATAAACAGTATTCAATTAAATGCGAAGACACCTGTTGTGCTTTATACACGTGTGTTGTTTCCAAAATCAAAATCACTTGATTTAATATTTAAGAACAGCGTAGGCGGGTTGGGTTTCTTCAGCTTGGTAAGGTTTTTCATAAAGGTTATTTTCCTGAAAAGAGACAAATTATTATATCATTTACATCATGTCTTGTTTTAATATAAGCACACCGTGTCGTTGTCTCCTTTCAAATACTTTTTCTATTTAGTCATCCAGATCCATTTAATACTCTTGGAATCCAAACACGTTGCAGGAGGCCTGATTCTGATGATGAAAAATTCACCTTGGAAGTAACAGTACTCGAGTTATCAATCACTTCTTGCTTACTTACCTCTCTACTCTGTATAACGGATAACTCATTGGTGACATTTTCTCGACCCATGCCATCATTCCTGTTTGCTACAACGAGAAACACACATGGTAAGCATCATCGGGTAGTTAAAATGTGTCATCAAGTGACGAGAAGTAGGGCATCATGCATATACGGTATTAGCATATTTTAGTTGGTTTAGTAATTCAGTTAATTTTTTTTTTATCTTAAATTAACTTAGGATACTATTATAATCACCGTTATTGTGATTTCGGTTTCTTCGGCTGAAATACAGGAATACAAAAACACCGGTGACGGCAACCAATACGACTGCAGTTATCACGCCAACCCCCACTCCAACAGGGAAACTGCCTTGCGCCGTTTGTGCTTCTACAATAAAGTTAAATACAGTATAGTATAGTATAGTATAGTATAGTATAGTATAGTATAGTATAGTATAGTATAGTATAGTATAGTATAGTCCAAGCATACGAAAAATAAAGCTAGTTTGCGTCCAGTTAAATAAAGGGCGTTTAGCACTATTTATCCACTGTATAAGCGTAACCATGCAGTGGCTAAATCATTATCTCACAGACAAGCATCATTTAAGATTACTGACAAACCTAAGAGGAATTTGCTACATCTATCCATCTTTTAAGAAATATAAACTATCTGGCAGGGACGTGTAAATTTAGCTAACCATTTTGGAGATTTAACCGTCTGTTAGCGCTAAACACCGTTTATGAAACATGGTTAAAAACGTTAAATGTTGTATTTAAACGTTGGTTGGTGTTGAACGGCTTTTATAAAACTAGGACCAGGGCCCAGTTTCATAAAGGACGTTTAGCACTAACCAGTGCTTAAGCTTAACCAGTGGATAAATTCTCCTAACACCATTAACTAAAGGATGGTCAAATTGTGTTTCATATACAGTCTTCCGGCGGAAAACAGCCAATTAGTTAACTGGCCAGTGTTTAACTGGATTAAATAATTATTTAAAGGTCAGTTAACTAACAGACTGTTTAGGTCTGGTTAGAGTTAAACAATGGTTAGTGCTAAACATCCTTTATAAAACTGGGCCCTGATGTTTAACAGGTAGTCTAGATGCAAAAGCAGCCCATTTTGTTTATTATAAGAGATAAATACTTCCTATAGGAGACGGATAACAATAAACTGGTGACATGAAGTATGAGATATTTACAAAAAGCTCGATCTAAATATCTATGGGAATGGGGTCTCAGCGACAAGCTTTTTGTGTAAAGTGGTGTGTGTCTATTCCCATAGATTTTAGATCAATCTATCCCCGTGGGGAGTCCACTAGATTACTGTCAGCTTGGCCGACTTAAGCGTCTGTCCCGCCTACTAAAAGCTGTAAGGGGGTAATTAACTATGGTGCCCGCTCGGCTGACTGCAATTTAGCGTGAACCCTCAGGTAGTTAGGTCGATCTAAAACTTAATCTTTAGATCGATCTAAATCTTTGGGAAAGCACCCTATCTGAAGCTCATGTTAAGTACACACAAATCATACACACCTTGCTTAATAAGCAATGAAGAGACCACAGCATCGTCCCCCTGGTACACAATCAGAGAGAACTCATACTGATGACCATCATCAGGCAATGTGATATTAGCTGATGTGACTGTTACATTGGTTATATTGTGGGAAGCACACTGGTTTGTTCCTTGAACACAGTACTGTATTCCATAACCTGCGAATTCTCCTTCAGGAAGGGACCATTTGATTGTAGCAATGTTTCTTTTGACATCCACTGATAGAGACGATTCAGCAATAACTGGTTTAGCTACAGTAAAGTTAATTCTTTTAAAGAGTATTTTAGCAGTATGTGTGTAAAAATCGAGTCTTTTTGTAAAGTTGTCTTAAACTATAGTCTTGCAATTTCATTTTGCTAGTGAAAAATGCATTCTGGATTAGTACACATTATACAATTTTCAGCAAAATTGTTAAACAGATTTATTACTTTTGGTCTATCATGTCTCTACATATTACAACTACATATTGTGCTTGAGGTAACAGGGTTTACTTACATTTAGTCTGCACTACAAGTTCATAAGAATAGCCCCCACTGCCATCCTTATTCCTTGATTCCACTCTAAATCTATATTGAGTGTCAGCTTGTAAATTCTGTACTTTATAACTACGTCTCCGTTTGTACCCAGGGTCTTCTATGTTGGTTATGGATTGCCAGTCTTCACCAGGTGCCTTATACTGTATAGTAAATGTCTGTTCATATCCTCCATTTTTGTTTGATGTCCACTGAACAGTGACAGATACTGCAGACACCTTAAGGGCAGAAATATCGGTGGGTGGGTCGGGTTTCCCTGCAAATAAGGTGAATAAACAAATTGAAATAAACAAATTGGTGAAATTGACAACGCCAGCCTATGTTTACCGTCTGGTTAATTTTATTTAATTTTCATTTCTGGTGTCGTTTTGAGAAATTGTATTGGGAATATTCTGTTGAGGCAAGATGTTTTGTTCGTGTTCTAGTATAATGTTAAACCAATTAAAATTATTGAACATGCATCATCCGAAGTTCTCTTCTCACCTCTCATTTCTAAAATGAATGTAAATCCTCTCTCCCCTGCTGCATTCTTCACAACGCATGTGTACGTTCCAAAGTCTTCGCCCCCCAGGTGTGGTATTGTTAATGTGGATATCTGATTATCAATATCGTGTCCTGGTACAGCATTTGCAGGAAGACTTCCATTTACTCTCATCCAGGTAGAACTGGTTGGTTTTGGATTTCCCACCACATATAAAGTAAAGAGACCCACTGAGCCAATGTCTGCAGCCACTTCTCTCACTGATACTTTTGTGGGGTGTAGTTCTGCACGGTCTGAAATGATTAAAACATGGAATCAGATCTATTAGATGCTATACAACTAAAATAAAAAACATTCTATTGACACTAGGCCACTGTTACGGTCACGCTGTAATGCCTTGAATACAAACTGTTCATAATTAAAGGGCGTTCCTCGGCGAGCGTAGCCTGTGACCGTACACATACATTTTTCTTTGAACCACGGCTGGACATTTTAGCAGACATGAAACAGATAGCAATGAGAGCAAGGTTTAGTTGTATGTAGTTCATGTGCAATTATATACATTTATGTTGCTTAAAATCATTCATATGTGAAATAAATGACACCGTTTCATTTACTTACACTGTACATTGATATAGAAAGAACTCTTTGCGACAGCTCCCACACCATTACTGGCTGTACAGCTGTAGTAGCCATGGTCAGTTCTTGTCACCTTGTCCCCAGTACGGCCTGGTCCAGCCAGTGTCAAGGTACTGGTGACAGTGTCATATTGTGTGACACCATTCAACTGTGGTGTGTCCTGTACTGTGTATAGCTGACTGTTTACATCCTGGTTGCCACGTGTCCACGTGACTGTTGGTACTGGTTTTCCTCGGGCAACACACGTCAACTGTACTGAGACATCACTTTCGTTGACTGTCAGGTTCTGCGGGTTACTTTGTATTGTGCTTGGGGCTGTGTGATGATAGTATAATATACGCACGTTTATGACAGTGTTTAGAAATACCGGATTGTAATTTAAAGTTGCTTTTCGTGATTTCTCTCAGTTTTTGCAACATTTTTCTGAGGCATAATCTAAATCTAAACGTACAATTTTGCACATTTAAATGACTGCTTTAATGTCATATGTAAGAATTTATTATCATGGATACACATGCAACTTTAAAACAAGTCACGAGGTAGGGTACCCCGGGTTAGACTCAAAGGTTCAGCAAATACTTTAATTAAACAACTAAATATTTTGAACAAACGCCTCTTTCCGTATCAGTAACTGATATAATAGAGAAGTGAGAATCCAGAGTGATGTACAATGTATTTGGAAAAAATACCAATACAAGGATACCTCAAAGTTTAATTAACCACGAAGTTTCTCAACAATTGCAGTAATATGGTGCAAAATTTCTACTCATCAGAGAGCATTCATTAATTTGATATAAAATGGTAACTACTGTACATACCATGCACATGTAACGTCATTGTAGCAGGGTTACCTCTGCCTATTGCATTGGATGGTCTACAATGATATGTGCCAGAGTCTGTCAGAGCTGTCTGAGATATCCAGTAACTTGCTGCTTGTCTGCTTGAATCAGTGGAACTGTGGACATACCAGTCAAAGGATGTAGCCTGTGGATTGCCCTTATCAGTGAATTCACAGTTTAGAGTATGTGGCTGACCCTCCACTGCTGTCACAGTGGTGCTAGATTGACCACCGTCCACGGTGGCTCTGCCAGGGGGATCTGGAGTAGACATATGTTTGGAAACCATGAATGTAATGTTATGATACAGATATGATACAGGTGAAATGCAGCACACATAGGCCTACCATCAAATTGTAAATTGGGTAATGAATTTTATAGTATGCATTTCATGTGTCACTGTAGTTCACTTCGGTATTCCAGGTTGATACTTACTAAACATTTAAACAGCCCGTAGATTGTCGTAACACCTGTTTATCAGACGACAAGTTTAATATATAATTTTCATGTAATACTGTACAATATATGTACATAATAAGAGCCAAGCAGTCTGTGGATTGCATATGGATATGTCGGATTGACAGTTGATCGTTTCTTTCGAGTATCATTGATCTATCATGATTTTTAACCAAAAGAAAAGGTTCCAATCAATTTAACGAACATAAAAAAATAAATCGGCTATATAATAATAATAATAATAATAATAATAATAATAAAACTTACATTCCATAGTTGTGACCAAAGATCCCTTAGCATCAATGTAAATACATTTTGCACATTCATAAGCTCAACAAAAGTTATCAACACGGCAAATCAAAGTACAGCTCCCAAGTACTTGCTTGTAAGTGTTTTATGCACCACAACTTAACTCTCTAAGAACAAATGTTCTTTCTAAGTATATTGGACTGTGCATGACGTAAATAATGCATTCCATTCTTTTTAAATTAGAAAGATTCACACATACATGCACATATATACGTTGCACAATAGATGTGTTACTATATGTTGTAAAGTTGTTAAGGCTAACACTTTCACTGGTTGCAAGAAACAACTGTATCAAATGAGGGAAAGGATGAGGAATTATTTGAGAGTAAGTTAAATTTCTTTAAGATTCAACAAGAAAGAAATTGTAGAAACTGTCCCAGTGGTAGAAAAAGAGGGAACATGTCAAAAGTCTCATATATAGTTCCATTTGATTGGTTAATTCCTCAAAAGATTTGCAAGTTTCTGCCACATGCAAACTAAATTCGGATATGGTCCAGGCATGAGTAATTATAATAATATTTTTAATATTTTTAATGGTTTCAATTGAAAACAAATCTCTTAGAAATTACTTAATAAGGGAATGGTGAACGGTGGTTTGCAACGTGACAATGGAAAATTCCTTATAATCACGCAAAGACAATGGAAAGAAAATCAGTAAATGAGTGATCAGTACGGAGAAATGAAAAATAAATACTTGTGAATTTGAATGTAAAAAGAGGGTCGTTGAATAAATGTTTGAAAACCCCAGAATGTCGTTATTGGCACTATAATACACATAAAGATATATGTATTGAGTTGGTTATATACTTACACTGAACATCCAGAGTCACGCTATCTGATGTATTGGCTCCTGCTGCATTCTGTACACTACACTGATATGGTCCTTGTTGTGATCTCTGTATACTGGGTATGGTCAGTATACTGAAGGTGTTAGCACTGTCAGGTGTACCAGTGAGTGAAGTACTACCTCTACCCCAGGTGTATACAAGCGGTGGAGTACCTGTAGCTGACATACACTTCAGTCTGGGATAGTCGCCTTCACTAACAGTAAATCCTGTAGACTGGTAACGTGTGATCACAGATTTAGATGGAGGAACTGAAATAAATGATTAATAAAGGGAGTGAGGGTGTAAAACAAAGTAAATAGAAGTATACACTCGAGAACATGCACTCGCACTTGTACTGACGGTGCCAGTGACTGCAACTTTCACGTCATGAAGGTAATGAACCCCAACACACACAAAGAGAGAAAACAAAAGAGATATACCGGTTAGAGCCTCAAACATCCCTGCACCTACCTCTCAGCACAATTTGAATCTGTTTATCAGGTATGCTAGTGGAATCGCATCCTAGGATTAATCGAACTCTACACGTGTAGTTGCCAGCATCCGCTGCTGTTGCTGCTGAAAGCTGCACTGTGGCTGGTTTGATGAAGGTGTATTGACGGTTCCACTGGTCTAGTGTGGCATCGTCTATGATATTGTCGTTATGCAATACCAACTCTAAGGCAAGTCCTAAAGGATTTCTCCATGCGATTACATACAAATAGTTGGAAGGCTGGTAGTTGGCAGTAAAGCTACAGTCTACGGTGAACTGTCCACCTTCATTGGCATATTGGCGCTCTGGCGCTTGCCATTGGAAATTACAAGGTGCAGCCTGGACATACAGCGCTAAAAGAATTTCATGTTTGGTGTAAGGTGTAATATATCAGAGAGAGAGAGAGAGAGAGAGAGAGAGAGAGAGATAGAGAGAGACTGACTGACTGTGGAATCAAATGTCAATGTCGCAAAGGCCTCTGCGTTTGCATAATTTGTCGTTTTATTGTGTCTTTCGTGTAATGAAACATGGCGCCAAGTTTGGGTTGCTAGTCACAATAGTATATAATAAAAGCTATAACCAAAAACATGGAAGCTTATAATAGTTCTGGACCCCGTATCTCGAAAGCTTCGCTATGTTGTGCAATTGCACCCACCTGCTATCTCGAACCCTTAGCAAACGCAACGCAATTACAACCTCAAACTCTACTAAAATTCGATTGCCGCATAAAGATAAGACGTCATAAGACAATTACACAAACTATTTTTTTTTCACCATGACGCTAATCAAGAGATTGATTTAATTTACAGGAATATCATAATTACAAATACTGATATTTGAAGTGTTTGACACCAATAAAATGTCAAAAAACAATTCAATAAGCGAAGCTTGGACTGACAGAATTACTGACACATTGGTGAGAAGTGTTCAGTCTCACAATAATAGACATTGAGGAAGGTCACGGTGCGACCGAATGCTTTGTTTCTGCTTTTTCATTTTGAGTAGAAAATGACACTTCAAATGATTTTATGATTATTATCAATAGACTACACAGATGAATTATATTCATCAGAAAAAAATAAAATGATGTATGAAATGTTTAATTTTGAATTTTTTATGCATAATAAAACATGACTTTTAAAAGCATTCTCCACGTGAATGTTTACCGCAAGTTTTTCCATCAGAGGTACCGAGTGATTCAATCTTTTATAAGCTCCCATGTTTTTGTTATAGCTTTTGCTGTATGCTATTATGACAAGCAGCCCAAACTTGCCGCCATGTTTAATTACATGAAAGACATATTAAAATGACGAATTATGCATACGCAGAAGCCTTTGCGACTAGTTTGTATCGCCGCAAATAATAGCCTTGAAGCTAATGGTGATTTCGCCATCAGCGCACGGCCGCGATTTGCGAAGCTTTCGAGATATGGGATAGCGCACGCTCGCCATGCTTGTGCACGCTCGGCATAAGCGAAGCTTTCGAGATACGGGGCCCAGGTCACATTTGGGTGGTAGACGGGATGCACAATGTGTCCTTTCAGCGTAAAGGGGCTTAGGTCAAGGTTAAGTTTTACCTGTTACAATGGAAATCGCTGAAAACCACCCAGTAGCAGCTCCCGCCATGACTTGATGACGTCAAACTGCCACCTTCCTTAAAACGTAAATATTCTCGAGTTCAGCTATGTGGCCATACTTGCTATGGAATTAAAATTTATTTCTTTTTAAAACCATGGTGCAAACAGCATTTCATTTAGTTTTTGGTATCCTTCAATTCCGCTTGCTATGAATGTGTGGCTTACATGCATCAGCATACCCTTTACTACACCAGGGAATATGTGCCATGTACATACTGAAATATGAATTCACTGCAACGGATTCAATTTAACATATAAACCGGTCAACAACTGGCATATTTAATTGTTGCAGTAGTAGGCCATTTACATCGAAAAGTGCACATAAACACCAAACGTACCTGTTTTAACCAGTCACCTCAGTTATTTCTGTCTTACTCTCTGATCTAAATGCTGTGACCTGGCGTGATAACATTTCTGTTTTACTTCCTGTTTCCAAAGTAGACTATAGTCGGTCGGTGTTTACAGAGTCTTTTACTTAAATGAGAGTGAGGGCTTTTGCTGCACTTAATCGACAAGAACCGCGCTCTTCTACATGTATCAGTCTTCCGGGACGTCAGTGATATGTTAGTTATATGATGTTGGTGTAAAAAGCCCTTTTTTACGGTCTGTGTTTTTCCAAGCTGCTGTAAGATGATCTCAGTTTAACGGACTCACTAGAGTCAACTGAATAGACTGGCACCACATCAACATACTTAAAAAAATACTTAGGTTCAACACACTATGTTCATTTTAGTGCAAGACACACACCGTTATAGAAAAACGTTACATACCTACATCAAAGCGTGGGGGTGCAGAGGGCACCTTGTTGTGTTAGTTGTATAAGCTATGAAACCTAACACAATAACAGATACCCTGTGTACCGAAAATGATGTTGGTGTAAAAAGCCCCTTCACGGCGTGTTTTTTTCCCCAAGCTGTTGTAAGATGATCTCAGTTTAACGGACCCACTAGAGTCAGCTTCATCTATAAACCTGTAGTGATCGGAAGCGAGATGGACTGGTACCACCTCAACAATAATAGCACACTATTTTCATGTTTATGAGAGACACACACAGTTTCTGAAAAAATAAAAAAAACGTTACAAACCTACATCAAAGCGTGGGGGTATAGAGGGCACCCTGTTATGTTAGTTGTGTAAGCTATGACACCTAACACAATAACCGACAGCCGGTGTAACGAAACTGTGGAGCCGTGTAACAGTAGGTCCTCCCTCCATTTAGTTATAATGCAGGACCGTAGCCGGGGGGGTGGGGGGTGGGGGGAGGGTTCGGGGGTGGGGGGGGGGTTCGAAAGAACCACCCTTTTTGCTGAGAAAAATGTTCACTCTGGATGAAATTTTATCTAGGTACTTAAAGGTTTTATGGTAAAAGGTCCACTTTTATGGTAAAAGGTCCCCATTTTAAATTGCTGGCTACGTACCTGTAATGGATAGGGTTAGATTGACCTAAGTGGGTCAGAATCTAGGGCGAGGCTCACCTGTACAAATGACTGGGAGGTGGACTCTTTGTTATGGAGGACTCTATGTCACGTTACACCGGGACGCATGAACATTGATTTGACTTCACTTTGCTAATACTGACACGTAGCATCACATAAGGAGACACGTTAGTGATTGGATGTGTTAAACTCAATTTAATTCAGATAATGATCATGGTTTTTTTATCTGTCAGCCCCGTATGTCATACGTTAACCTCACAGAAATCGGTGGTTCAACACAGGCGTAGCCCCATCTTAAGTAGTAGAAACATTCATCTCCCCTCAAATATAAAGTAAACGTGTGACTATGTTTAATTTGTTGTTTAATAGGTTGATTGCCAAAGGCTATCATTGGTAACAGGCAAATAAGTCAGATAAAATATTGTCAGAAAGCGTATTTTCATTTGTTGATAGAAGAAATGTATTTACCTTTATATTAATGCATGTAGCTGAAGTGGGAAGATTTTTGACTTTTGCTTATGGAAAAAATCGTTCAAATGCATTTTCATTCATAAATGCTCTAGATCTGAATGTGTAGAAAGAAAAAAACATTGCATCGAAGTGATTTAAGAGTGCTTTATTTCTAATTTTCTATTCACTGATGGACATTTTCGTCAAAAAAGTCACTGGCAAAAAAACATATCGATTCTAAAGTGGCTTAACGTTTTTATACCTTTTAGGTATCATAGTAGCAGTAACAACAGGCGTCCTATTTTACCGAATATTGTTGTTCTACTGTATACGATGGTATTGCACACAAAGAGGCCATTGAAAATAAACACTATGCGAAATACTTGACATGCCATTACACCCACGAGGAATTAATTGGAAGCTTTCCAGTATAACTAACCTGCCAAATTTCTGGGTAAAATTGAAACCTTGTTGATATTGTCTGGCCAATATATTGGTCAAACATAACTGTAGATGTTAGCACTTTAATGTGACTTCACCGATCTAGTTTTTTGGGGGTCCAATTACCTAACATCACACGGTCATACTTCCATACTAAGAAAGTTGCTTTGTCATTTTGCCCACACCCTCCCCAATAGCAAATTACTGGATTAGCTAATGATTTACACGATGACCCATTTTTTGAATAAATCGAAACAGTTTCGGTAATTGGGATACCGTTAAAAAGCTGCACCACAGCTCCATTTAAAACGTGTAAGACCATGTGAATATCAAGTTCCAGATATATGAAAAAACACGTGACCAACGTGTTGATCTGGTGAACCAAAGAAACATTCTAATTATATACCCCTAAATGTAATATATACCCCCAATATTCTTTACAACAGCGGAAGTTTACTACCATTGCACCACATCTTTTTCTCGGCATAATTTGAACGAATTACATTTTTTTAGATAACAATATGTGAAAATAGCCTACTGGCGGCTATCAGTGTGCATGCTAATGATAATCGAGCATTTTTTTTTATAGAAATACAGAAGCCCTAAAATCAAGCATAACGTAGCCAATCAAAAGTTTCCATACAAACGACTATAATAAATCTGGCAACCATAATTTTCCATGAAGCAGTTGTCTGTTTGCATTTTATAGTCACAAAGTGATATAAAAAGATATATCTTGATACTCCAGTTACCTGCCTATGATTAATGATAGATTAAATAATTGCAAAATACAATTCATATCGGTCTGCGTAGGTAAATAAAAAATGATGCCTTGAGAAATGCTCTACACTAACCTTGAAAGCATGTTACAATTAGATACATATACTGAATATTTGATTAAATTTTATCTGTGTTGCTATTTGACAATAAAAATTTTCTCTGAATACAAAATGATATAATTGATTATATAGAATGTTATAACAACAGTCTATTATCAATGATAAAGACGATGGTTTCGAACGAAGACTTCGTTTCTCGAGTACATGTAACATGTCAGCTGTTATAAATCGGGGGTAAGAACTCAACAAAAAATAAAATAAAAAATAAAAATTAATAAATAAATAAATAAAATAAGATAAAATAAAAAACAAAACAAAACAAAACAAAACAAAACAAAACAGAACGTTATTAAAACGTTAACCTTACGTTAATAAAACAAACAATGTTATGGTAACGTTTTGATAACGTTCTGTGTTGCTGGGTGGTAACCATTTGCCGTTGGACCGTCATGAGGAGTCGTGTTAGAGTCATTTCATTTAATCACGTCGGTTATGTCTCTTTTCCAAAAGTTTCATCAAAGCATCTCGTAGAACAGTATTTCTGTTTTCACCTTCTTCGTCGTCCTCGTCCATTTCATTTTCGTCGTCGTCGTCTCTCTCGTTGTCCTCTTCATCATCATTGTCGTCATCATCATTTTCATCAGCTTCGCTGTCGTCTGCTTCGTCGTTGTCATCATCATCATCATTGTCATCATCATCTTCGTCTCTGCTATCCTCAAAGTCGTCCATGATTCTTCGGAGAGTCATCTTTATTTCTGAGATCAACTTTCGCTTCAGTGCTTTCCTTCCCTCGTCATTTAGCTTACTAATATCGTGCTCGTCTTTGTTTTCTGCTCCTTGCACTTTCTTGACAGTCTTTTCAGCGTCTCCGGCTGCTTTATCTTTAAAAGTTTTATCCAGTAATTTCCGAAGCGCGTCCACCTTGGCATCGTCATCTTTCTCTCTCTGGTGTTCTTTTTTCTCAACTTGGTCCTGTATTTCTTCAGCAGATCCTAATTCTGAATCGATTGGTTTATCTTTGGAGGCATCTGCTTCCTTTTTGTCAGTTGAGGCCATGCTCTTCTTCTTCCCTTCAATCTTTTCTTTCTTAACCGCTTGTTTCTTCGCATCTTTTTCTTTGAGGGCTTTCATTGCTGTTTGAAAAAGGTCCTCAACTTCATCATCGTGCGCTGGATCATCCTTATCATTAGCGTCATCAGCATCATCTTCCTTGGCATTAACATCCGTCTTCTGGTCTTTCTTTTCATCAAGGTTTTCCGTCTTCATCTGGTCAGCGGATGCGTGTTCAAGTATTTTGAGCAGCTTAGTCTCGTCGTCGTCATTAGTGTTCTTGGTTTCATCATCTTGCGCAGAAAACTCCTTGCTGCTTATTTTACCGTCACTGTTTCCGTCCAGTAATTCGAATTTCTGGAGAATCATATCCTCAGAAAGTTTGTCATGGCCGTCCTCGAGAGAGGCTAGGTATTCCTTCATGTTCAAATTCCCGTTACTGAAAAACGAAGTTGAAATAATTTAATCAACATGTGTTGCTTGTGACCTTAAAAATAAAATACACGAAGAAAGAATGACCAGTAAATAAACCAGTTAATAAATGAGTAAAATAATCAAAAGAAAAAAATGACCAATTGATATGATTATTGAAAAAAATATCTGATACCAGTGGCAACAATGTCACGTGGATTATAAGCATTATCAGATGATAACACCACGAAAGTATTAAAAGGGCAAGTCAGTAAATGTACTTTTTAAGGATACTGAAAGCTTTTACCAGGAATGTGTTTATTTTAACGAACTTTAATAGGTGTGTTTTAAAAAGTATTTTTACTTATACAGTAACTTTTTGGTATGGGCGTGTAACTGTTCAGGATAAAAACCAACTAGAATAGATTGTTGAAACGGCAGGTAATGTAATTGGAACGGATCCTACCCCCATTCATTCCCTTTATCTCGATAGGGTTAAAATTACAACAGCTTCCATCACGACCGATACCACTCACCCAACTCATACCCTATTCATTTATTACCCAGTAACTCGAGGCTTTTAGTTTTTCAGCATTAACTCTTTTAACACTCAAATATAAATTGCATTCTAGTACATTTAAATATTTTATTTAACAATTGCGCTATTGCAGGGCACACGTTTCCCAATTTTATACATTTGTATTTTTATTGGTTTAATAAATTATTATTTCTTATCTAATTGATGAGATATGATGTGACAACTGTGAATTGAGACGAAATGGGAGGCATGAATGGTGTGAATGGGGCTTGGGTGGACATAAGATGCCCATTATACATTTGCTTGACCGCTGTTGGATAGCAATGAAATGGTTGGCAACATAGAATTGATACGTTCTTTGTGGGAAGGTCTCTCTGCTACACGCCTTGTATCATTTGATTCTATTCAAAAAGAAATAAAAAAAAATTCATCGTCATAATAAGTTTTGGGCACAACCCAGCGTGTTTAAGGACAAATTGGTCAAGGCACAGGTCAGTCGGTACAGAGGTGATTGCATTACCCCGGGTAAGTACATTACTACCGTCAGCACAATTCAGATGGAAGGTAAGTGACAATCATTTATTTCGTGCGTATCTCTTACCTTCATTTCTTGTTAGAGGACTTAAGAAAATATCTTATTGCTGATGTCTACGGGGTTTTGTTACTTTGCACCAAAATCACTCGGGAGCCTCACAAGGTGAAGCCCCTTTGTCAACGACGAAAAAAACAACTTTGTACTTAAAATGAAATTCTATAGGATAAAAATGTAAGATTACACCTGAACTGGTTTTTAAAAGTGTAGCGTGGATAAATGGTGCATATTTGCGTGTACAGAACGCCCGTAGATTCATGATGTTCATCCAGGTCTGGAGAGGGGATGGAAAAATACTCTAAAATACAATTTATGCGACAAAACACATCAACACATACATGAAAGTAAAAAATAAATAAATAAATAAATAAGTTTATAAATAAATTTAGGCATATAAGAGAGAGCAAATTACCACCATCTTCCAGGGCCACAGGATTATATTTTATCGTTAGATAATCACATAATTTTTCCACAAAATTGACTTGCAATCAGCCAGTCTCCGTATATTGTGTCTTTCGTCGGAAACATTTCTTGAAATGCAATAGTTCTTTTGGCAATATCATAAGAAATAAAGCGACATTTTACAAAGAAGTGTGTCGTCTGCTCGGTGTAGCAATCCAAGTCCTTCTTTTGGCTATAGTTGGAGAAATAAAGCGATATTTTACAAGGAACTGTGTCATCTGCTTGATATAGGGATACAAGTACCAATCCATGATGAAGTTTGAATGTGCGGCGTCGGGCGGTATATAGTGACTGGTGAAAGCGGTAACATAATCTTTGGAAGAAGTTATTTCTATATCTAAATGCCTTTTTTTGTTATTGTACAAGAAAGTAATGGTCGTGACCTCGTACATTGTACAACCAAAGGATGCCAGGTCAAACACTAGTGACTGGTGAGGTCGTGGCTATCACTTGTCACATTCTTTACTCTCATGTTTTTAACGCTACTTTTTTGGAGGACAACTGTATGTATTCTTATGAAAACAGGTGATCATTTTATGGTATAGCCCTACGATTTTGCAACACATAATTTTCTCTTGTGTGTCTGTGTGTGGGCAGGTGTGTGTGTGGGGGGGGGGGGAATGCACCACGTGCGTCTCTTTACTGTAAAATTTACGTCAAGCAAAATGATACAAAATTGGCTTAGGCTACAATTAATATGTACTAAGCGATACGAGGCAAAATGTTTGCATCCATGTGATCGGCACTCCCCTAAGCAAAATTCTTGGACTTGCCGAGGGTATCAACATTTAATAAAAATAGTGTATCATTCTTACAAGCCTTGCCGTAATTGGTGAATAACGCTTTGAAATTAAAAGATCAGGTGTAAAGTGTAAGGCCATTTTTTATTTTTCACGACATTTTTTCTCAGAAATTCTCAAGAAAATCAGAGCAAAGAAAAGCTGCGCTACATACTAAAATCAGTAAACTATGCACATAATTTTTGCACAAAAATCATGACGTCATTACTCAACTTGTCTCTGACAGAGAGTGACGAATTGCTGCCTTTGTCTTGAAAACGTCCCATGAGCTATAAATGAAGAGGTTCTTTATTCAAATAAATAAATAAGGCAATGTGTTATCTTCTTGATGTACCATTTCGTAACGAAATCTTATTGTGGCCATACGGGATATTGCCTTGTGAATTAGGTAAATTATATTATTGACAAATTTGCTTCTTTATGTATATAAATCTTCATGTATTGGCGCCTTTAATGAATGCAGGAGTGAATGGCGGGAGGAATGCATAAAAGCAAACAAGCTATTACCGTGGCCTCATAAATCATAGGGTTTTATCCGCGACTAGATACCAAAAAATGAACATAAAAGAAGTTAAAGCTAGTGAATACAACATGTCCCATTCTTCTTTCCCCGTTATGAGCTTTTCTTTTGGAATACAGTATAAATTTTAATAATGCCAGGTGATGGTTTAGTGGAATACCTCTACGGTTTTGCAACATATTTTTCTTCTATGTGTGTGCGTGTTTGCGCGCGTGTGTGTGTGAGTATATGTGTGTGTGCGTGTGTACATGCGTGTGTATGTGTGTGCGTACATGTGTGTGTGTGTCTGTGTGCGTGTGTGTGTGTGAGGGAGAGTGGGTGGTGGACCATGAGAGACCCTTTATTGAAAAAAAAGCGTATGGCAAGCAAAATAACACAGGATTGTCTAAGGCTATAATTTATATCTACAGTGCGATTCTTTCTTTTTTTTCTGTTGTACTCCCCACTCCTTAAGCAAAATTTTAGATCCGGTGTGGCAGGAGTGTTCGTCCTAGTAACGCAAGTCCGCCCGGACACTAAGCCCTGGGAATGCAAGTCCTAGGGCATGCACTGCTAGGAATGGAAGTCCTACATGTAGGACATACGTTACTAGGATTCAATGTCCGTAGGACGAAGGCTCCTAAGTAATGCAAGTCCTATGTGTAGTAATGCACGTCCTAATGGGACGTGCGTTCCTAACATTTTAGTAACGCATGTCCTATATAGCTTACACCAATAAATGACATGAATAAATAGATATAGAGACATACTAGTTTTAAAGATATAATAAACGTTTGCTTTATTCTATTTATATGACATTTTATCTTTATTTTTACAATGTTTTCCAATAGGCAGTTTATATGCATATTAATGTAGAAACAAAAAAAAATTAATTTATGTGTATTTTTCATCTAGTAAACGCAAAATTTGACGTGTTTATGCATATTTTTGGCGTACTCCTCCCTCATTGCACAATATGTATGAGCCTGGTTTGCCCAATATTTTTTAACAAAATAAGGCACCATCCAAAGGCATCCCTTTTCATCCTTTGAGGTATATGTACAGTGTATATTACTTCATGTCCTTTTCTACTTGGGTGTACCTTTTGTGTTTTGCGTCGAAAATCTTATTTTCTCTCCCTCTCTCTCTTTTTCAAAACCTTATTCCTAAGAGAAAAATCACTTAACACAAAACGCGGGATCTCCGTTCTTAGATTTATTTTTCGGTTTACACTCGCTGAAATTAGAAAAAAAAAAAAAAAAAAAAAACTCAAACTCGATGGAAATTTGCTCTTGGAAAGTATGGGCTGAGATTTAAGACAAATCAAGACAGTTCAGAAATTGAAAATTGCAATATAAGTATATAATGCTCTGTAATAACCCTTTGCCATTTTGGTGCTCTTACACTTAAAAGACAAAAAAAAAGTTGTAAATGTAATGAGCACGGAATTTCGAACACATATTAGACATTAAAAACACCATTAAACATTTTGCTACAAGTAATAAATAGGGGGAAGGGGGGGGGGTAAGGTCATGTCGAAGGTAGGTCTCGAACCCATAGATGCAACAGAACGATTCATGTATTTTTACCGTGTAGTATTGCACGCTAACCACTGCACAGTAATACAAGTCCTACCTACTCTAATTATGAGCCAGGAACCTAAGTCCCTATAGGACTACTATTCCCAAGTAATGTTAGACCTACAGACAACCATTACCAGGTTCCTGGGGGACGTGGATTACTGTTACACCGGCACTGCATTTCCCCGTTTTGAAAAGGCTAAGGAGCTGCTTTTCATTTCTTTTCTCACTTCACTGCCATTCATTTAAAAAAAAAAATCTGTGGTAAGTTGGAACTAAATCGTTGCTCTATATTTCATACCATTATGTTGTGTTGAGGAGTGTCTTATCTACCAGTAATCCCAATTGAATAATAGTGTTAGAGCAACCTCACGGGAGAATGCTTTCTCATATAAGACGCAATTTTACATGGATATGGACACGAATCAAATATTTGTGTCAGCACTGTCTGATATTAGAACTCCATAATAAAGGTGAGGTCTCTGAGCTACACATCTACGAACAATTGTGTCCCATATTGGACCCTGTCTAAACTTGCTAAACACCCGACCCAAGGG